GTTAATGTGGCATTAAATGATACGTGAAATTAAATAAGTCATTTCATTTCACATATCATTTAACCAATCATTTACATCCACATAAACTGGGGATGCATCTTCACTGGGGATGAATAACATTTTTTATTACTTTAATAATCCTTGTAAAGCCCGCGTTTCAAAAATATTTTATAAAATAACTGCAAATTATTCTCCGTCACTTCGTTTACTTTATTGCTAAGATTAATTAAAGGTTATTTCTAAGGAAACTTGTGTAAAATTCAAATCAATGAAATCGGATATCACTAAATTATATGTGGTGTTGGAGGGATGGAGTTGAATTGAAGTATGTTGGCTACTTTGTCGTTTAGATGCAAATTGGCCAAATATTTTCGATCAAAGCGATTAAAAGACGATGTATTGGTATATAGATTGAGGTCAAACGGGGACATGATCTGGCACAAACCATCAATCTAAGAAAGCAACACACATTTTCGCTCTACATGGCCATACTTTGCGACAAATTTTCTTCAAATGTTAAGACTTGAAATATAGAAGCGATAAATCAAGTCATTATTGTTTGTTTAGAAAAATTATAAGTTGTTGAAATTATTAAAGGATGGAAATGAATGATGAATAAATTGATATGTCAACAAGTCGAGTCGAGCCGAACTCGAGTAGAAAAAAAAGCTCGGGCTCTGCTCGAGCTTTTTCGAGCCCGAGCCGAGCAAAGCCCGGCCAAAAAATGAGGCTCTGCCTGAGCTTTCGGTCTGAGGCTTAGTGGGCTGGCTCGAGTTTTTTTTTTTTTATTGAAGGCCACAGCGGCAACTCTTTTAAAAAATATTAATTTTATTTAATGGGCGGGCTCGATCCGACGCCCCAAAATGAGGCTCGACCAGAGCCTCGACTTAGTGTAACCGGCCGGCTCGGGCTTTTTCCGAGCCTCCCGAGCCGACGAGCTTTTTACCATCCCTAGTTGTAGGTGTAGAAAAGTTGAGCTCAATTAAATATTGAATATCTTTCTAAAGAATCCATGAACCATGTGAAAGATAAGCTAGGGACAAAGTCGAGTAATAAATGGTCAATCGAGCTTAGAAAGTTGAGTGAACTCTAGAAGATTTGAAGGCAAGGCTGACCTGACCAATGTCACTTGGTCCATCGACTGCTAAGAAAAGGTCGAGATCAAGCTTAAGCGATCAAGTCCAACTAAACACTAAAGTTTTTTTTACTAGCATGACATCAAAGCAAAGAGTTCAAAAGACTGGATTATACCTAAACGCATTTTACACTTCAGTAGAATATGAATTATGACATACAACGTCGGAAATGTTAGTGTGGTGATAATAGAGTGACCATTACATTCGCCTAATATGATTTTCAACTTCATCAAGTTCCAAGATGATATGACTTTTAAGTTCTCCATTTGAATATGGATCTTACTACATGTACATAAAAGTTTATTTAAGGAATTACATAATACGACATGTCATTCTACCTGATGATAGAGAGCTGGAGCACAATGCCAGAGCATGAGCTTTCCATTTTGTCTCAAACTCCTCATGGCCTCCTCAGTCATACCTCCTCGGGGTGGTCAATTCTCGGGTCATACGACTTCCTCCAAATCACAACAAACCTCGTGCCAGGCATCCCTTGACTCCCTCTTGCTAAGGCATATCCAAACCTAAGGGAGACATAGTCTTGCTGTTAATATGTAACCCAATCCAAAAATGATTCTACCATCAGAGTCCTATCTCTGATCAAACACATAGGTAATACAAAACCAATTAAGTTACAACTTTCAAATACAGTAGAACTCTTAGGGATTTTAACATAGCAATCATACTAGGAATGCACTACCTACCTCTATAAATATACCATTTCAATTCATTATTAAGGTACGTTTTTATATAATTCTACAGCACATATCTTTTCGAAAATTCTCTCTCTAACTTAAGTATCGGAGAGGCGACGAGAACACATCTCGACCTCTTTGTTTCAGGCACTAGAAAATCTCGTTCATACTCATTCTCAGTCATCAAACTCGTAAGTAAACATGTACGATTTTTAGTAGCATCACTACCATTTGCCGTTTATAACATATTTAACTTTTTCATTCCTTATATACCATTTTTATGTACTAGTAGCATAATCCATTTGAATATATCCATCGCTTCTCCTTTTTACATAAACACTCAAAAGACGTTTTTCTTTCTCATTTTTAACCGTACATTTTTTAATAAAATAATATTACAAACAAATTAAAAAAATTTCTTATTTTTTTAACCACGCTTTATCCATAAATCACTATTCTAAAATACATTATTTGCAAAAATTGAGCTTAAGCATGCTCATTATTTGCCGAAATAGAAACAATAAACGTCGCAATCAAATAGGCAATATACCTTGATTACCTTCAAGTAGACTAGACGAGTTATCTTTACATCTTCTCAAGCAATAGCACGAGACGTTGACGAGAAGTCACCTGGCATCAATATCACATCACTAAACGTTAAATTCAACTAAATTATTTTTTTATATATTTTAAATTAAGTAATATTATTCATCACCACTGATATAAAATGTCAAATTATGTGACAATTAGATTGCATTAAATGAAATATTTATTTAAGAATAATGCCATCTAGCACCGATCTATGTAGCATTGTGTGACATGTTCAATTGAAGGTAATGTTAATTATATGATGCATTGAATTGTACCTTTCATCTAATGACATTTAATACTACATAAATTAGTGTTGTAACAAAGTAACTCTTCATTTAAATACAAAGTCACACGACTTATTTAATTAACTTATAAAATATAATCACCTAGATTGGTATTTTAATGTCATTGATGTTAAATAAGATTATTTATTCTGTAAAGTACAGAAAAGTAATGTGCGTAGAAAAATGGAATCTCTAGTAAGGGGAAGCAGCAAGTTGGCTGCTTATTTTTGTTAGGCAAATTGTTGTCA